AGCATCCTAAAATAGTTGGCAGTACTAAGTAATATTCTTCATGAACAAAAGCATATTACATTTATTAAGACAGCATATATTTTCTCTATGGAAGGAAGTGCAACAATGCTAATTATGTTTTAAATCCATGGGGATCACTAAAAGGAGTTATGTAAATAACAATGAACTTCTCTTTTGAGCTTGGGTTAGGCAGATTATGGGGGTAAAAAGTAATTAATTTACAGATGTAAAATGTTTCCTTAATTCCACATCTAACACTTAACTTTTTAAGAACTTTTAAAAATAAATGATGCTCAAGTATAAGGAAATAATAAATATACCAACATATGTATCATTTTTATAGTATTTAACCTGACAGTATACCTTAGAATTAATAAGCACTCTTTCTATACAAAAACAAATAAACCAAGCCATAAAATTCATATTTCTACTTGTTAAAAGTATCCATCACTGAACCACCCATGAGTTCAAAACTTTATCAAACTTTAATTTAAAAATCATGACAAAGAAAAGTATCTACTGAATGACATAGAAACAGTGTGCACTGTATGATCCCAGGTAATGTTGGTACTGAAGGTTTAGGAACTACACTTTGAGAACCAGTACCTAAAATCATGGCAAAGCGTCTCTCTATAGAAACATTAAAGTATTACATAATCTTTAGAGAATAGTCAGACATTATCTGGAAATGCCTAAGAAGATCACAGGCTTTGACAGACCCAAGTTAAACAAGAAACAGGAGCCTTAGCAAGTTTTGCTCACTGGCCCTCAGACTGTAGTGTCATGCATTCAATTCCAATCAAGGGCACAAACCTCAGTTGCAGGCTCCATCCCATGAGGAAGCAAAAAAACACTCAATTAGAAGAGCAAAAAGAAAAAAAGAGTAAGAAAATAGTGTAAGGAGCCTCTGGGAAAACTTCAAGCATACCAACATTTGCATTATGCAGTTGCCAGAAGGAAAAGAGAGTGAGCAAGATGTTGTAAACCTATTTGAAGAAATAATGACAGAAAACTTCCCCTACCTGGGGAAAAAAAGTAGACTTACAAGTCCAGGAAGCGCAGAGTCCCAAACAAGAGAAACCCAAAGAGGCCCACACCAAGATACATCATAATCAAAATGCCAAGGGTTAAAGACAGAGAGAATCTTAAAAGCAGCAAGAGAAAAGCAGTTAGTTACCTACAAGGAATACCCATACGACTGTCAGCTGATTTCTCAACAGAAATATGCAGGCCAGAAGGGAGTACAAAGAAATATTCAAAGTGATGAATAGCAAGGACCTACAACCAAGATTGCTATATCCAACAAAGCTATCATTTAGAATTGAAGGTCAGACAGATAAAGAGCTTCACAGACAAGAAAAAGCTAAAGGAGTTCACCACCACCAAACCAGTATTACATGAAATGCTGAACGGTATTCTTTAAGAAGAAACACAAAAATCAAATATATGAATAAAAGGCAATAAACACATATATATCAATAATTGAATCTAAAACATCAAATAAACAAACAAGCAGAACAGAAACAGAATCATAGATCCAGAGAACATTCTGATGGTTGCCAGATATTGTAGGGATGGGTGAAAAAGGTGAAGGGATCCCATGATTATTTTGTAACAACCAAGTTGTTACAAAATAATCATGGGATATAAAGTACAGCATGGGGGATATAGTGAATAATATTCTAATAACTATGTATGATGTTAGATGGGTATGAGTTTATCAGGATGATCACTTAGTAAGTTATATAATATCTAATCACTGGGGTGAATACCTGAAACTAATATAATACTGTATGTCAACCGTATTTGAAAAAGGACAAACTAAATGTAAAAGCAAAAATTCCCCACTTAAAAATAGAAGATAGCCTCTCAGGTGTGTCTCAGTGGTTGAGCGTTGACCCATGAACCAGGAGTTCACAGTTTGATTCCCAGTCAGAGCACATGCCCGGGTGTGGGTTTGATCCCCAGTAAGGGGCATGCAGGAGGCAGCCAATCAATAATTCTCTCTCATCATTGATGGTTCTCTCTCTCTCTCCCCCCTCCCCCTTCCTCTCTGAAATCCATTAAAAAACAATTTGTTTAAGTAGAAGATAGTATCTTAGGTATGTACATTTGAGGTAGTGAAAAAAGACCCCTCCACAGTGCCCAGCACCCAGGAAGAACTTCAGTGAAAAATAGGACTAGAAAAACTCTATCCACTAGCCTGGCAAAATATAAGGAAGTTTGCTATAGGTCCTGGGCCTTATATTGTGCAGCATGCAGAGCATACCACAGGCAAAGACAAAACCTTAAAATCAAACAGGGAGAACACAGACTTCCTGGAAAGCCAAGACATCACTGACATCACTGACAACAGACATCACATCATCAATAACCAAGGCCAGAAGACCATGGAGAAATCTTCAAAGTGCTGAAGAATAAACTTCAAATTGTATATCCAGCTAAACTGTATTTCAAAAGTGGGGACAAAATAGACATTTTTGGTCAAAAACTTTAAAAAAAATTGTCATTTAACAAGCCCTTGATTAAAGAAACACTAAAAATATACCTCAATAAGGAGTGTGCACAAAAAAAGAATCAAGTAGATCTAAATATGTGCTGACTGTTAAGAAACTAAAAATATACAAAGTTGGGGACTAGGCGTAGAGCTTAAGTGAAAACAAGGTAGAAATAAAAGAAAATAACTGAATTAAAAACTTCTAAGGTCCTTGCATGGAGGGAGCTGGATAAACTTGAGAATTTAAGTCAAATACATATGTAAAAATGCAAGAGTAATTACTAACCTAGAAATAATGTAAGTTATTTCCAAACCAGAAGTTTAGAAAAAAAGGAAATAAGGAAAACTCAATCAATACTTCATAAATCAGAAAAGAAGGGGTGGAGGGGGAGAATCACAGCATCAGACACAGATAACTTAAAAATAAGAGAACAGAATTCTAAATATATGAATAGACACATTAATGTAAACAGATTAAACTCTCCCAACTTAAAAAGGATGCTTAGATTAGAAAGGATATTAAATTTAAAAGAAAAAATCAATCTCACAAAAATCAACCACTATTAGAAGGGTGCTACTGTTTCTCTTGAATAAAGAGCTAGAACAGTAAGCAGAATGGTTGTGTGTTTGTACAATATGCCAGTAGCTTTAACAATCCAACAGACAAGTGTTCTGAAAACCCTGATTCACACCAAGTTATGTAGCAGCAAATGGAATTAGAATTCCCCAGTGCATTAAGACTTGTTCTTTGGAGAATCAATGAACCTCCCTGCAATATTCTACTCCCATTTCTCAATAAAATCTCTTGACAAGGTAGTGATTCAAGGAATAAAGAGTGACTTTTAAGACACTGGAGAAGACTTCTTTCATGATCTTTGGCACAGTCTATGATGCTAATGTAAAAGCAATGATTCATAGTGACCTATAGAGCTTCCTTCATCAAAGCAACAAAACCAGATGTGTTACCAGGTACCATCAGTTTTAATGGCAAGCCACTTTTCACTGTTTTATCTCTCAACAGTCTTTCCAGTTTCCAAAATGGGTTCACAAAACAAGAATCTTTGATGGTATCAGTTCTTAAAGAACAAAAAAGAGAAACTAGCTTCATTAAGAAACATCAGAATTTCATTCAGTTACTTGCGGAAAGAAAATGGCCTAACTTCCAATTCCTTTAAAACCATGATCTGAGACTACAAGGAAAAAATGAGAATAATTCTGGAAGACTAATGTCATCTGAAAGAGGTCTTCACTGCTCTGCTCCCAGTCACAAAACATCCAGATTTCAGAGAGCTTCATTCATCTGGACCTCTCCAATCATATTGTTACTTTTAGTTATAAGATTTTGTAAGATTAGGCTTTTGTGTTGGAGCAAATCCAAATACCAGTAGAGGGAAGTTTCCAGCCGTTTCTTCCTTCTTTTGTTGTTACTGTTAATCCTCACCCAAGGTTGTCTTTTCCATTGATTTTTAGAGACAGTAGAAGAGAGAGAGAGAGAGAGAGAGAGAGAGAAAGAGAGAGAGAGAGAGAGAGAGAGAGAGAGAGAGAGAGAGAGAGAGAGAGAGAGAAACACTGATGTAAAAGAGACACATGGATTGGTTGCCTCCTACACATGCCCCAACAGGGCAGAGATTGAACCTACAACTCAGATAAACAACCTTGACTGAAATCAAACCTGTGACCCTTCAGTGAGCTGGTCAACCCTCTAACCACCGAACAACACTGGCCAGGGCAGTTCCAGCCTTTCCAAATTAAACCACCTTCTTGTCAAAACGATTCACACTGCCCAGTATGTTTTCTGGCTGGCAGACATACTAGTAGAGGCTTTTTCAGCTTTGTTGGCTTCCAGCTTCTATTAGCAAAAATATTGCCTTACAAGAAAAAGCATGATTTTGTATCCCTGTACATTTAATCTTTACAGTAAGATCAAAGGTCACAGTTTTTTTATCTGCTTTCATTTTCATTTTTTTATTGTATTTCAAAAATATGTTTACAGTTTCTGAGCCTTTTGGCTAAGATAAACTGTAAAAATATTTTTTCATTTAAACTAAACTCTACATAAATACAGATGGCATGGTAAATTTCCCTGTACATAATCTAACTAGATATACTAATGACCCATGACACCCTATATTTGTAAAAATACCCAAACAATTTTGACTTTCAGGGGGCAAAGGGGGCATTTTTAAAAAGGAAATTTTCAAAGCAGTAGAAAAATATATTTTTAAAACCTTTTTAAGTTAATTACATTAGATCACAATTTAAATTAATTAAGTCAACATTTAACTTAGTAATTCTAAAATTATAAATCCTAAATATCATTAAGACAATCAATGTTCAAAAGATGGTTTTCAAGTAATCAACAAGTTTATGCAGCTTTTCTCATCTTATATATCATTAACATCTTTGAAATAACCATGTATTGTTTACATTAATGAAACTATTTTATATTAATATCAATCATCATCCAATATCAATAACAGAATAAGTATTTATATCCACTTACTGCAATCTCTCTACAAGCCGACATGGATATTCCTGTGCCTTCAATTTGCTTCAATGCATATTCCTTTTCATCTTTTCTGCATATGAACACAAAAAAATTATTTTTTCTACACATTTTCAGATTTAAAATTATAATTACAAAAACAATGAAAATGCACTAGTCTCTCAGTGATATGTCAACACTCTCACATGCATGCACTGCTTATTATTTCTGATACTTCAACTATAGAAATACAAAATACCAAAATAAATTCGTCACAATGAAAATACCAGACAGAGCCAAAACATAAAATTCAAAATTGAAACAGAACAGGATACCTAACAAGGCACTGGTTTCAAAAAGTAAACAAGCATAGCCCCGCTGGTATGGCTTAGTAGTTGAGTGTCAACCTATGAGTCAGGAGATCATGGTTCGATTCCCCATGAGGACACATTCTTGGGTTGGGGGTTCAATCCCCAGTAGGGTGCATGCAGGAGGCAGCCGATTAATCATTCTCTCATCATTGATGCTTCTATCTCTCTCCCCTCCCTTCCTCTCTAAAATCAACAAAAAAATATTTTTTTTAAAAAAGTAAATAAGCATAAATATCAACTTAAGTATACTGCAAGATAATTCTACTCCTATTTTAATTATCTGGTGTATGAAAGCATTGTTATAAATATTAACTACAAAAACAAATACCATATGTAAACTCCTATATTTGTTTAAAGTAATTTCATCGTATCAGAATCATTTATTAGGAGGGAGAAGCTATGGAAGAATACTGACCCGCTGAGACACCCTAGTTCTCACATAGTATAGGGGACATTGAAAAGCCCCATTAACTCAACATAAAGCCTTGGAAAGACTTGGTGAGAAACTCCAACCACCAACATCTCAAGAACTCTAGGAAAAACCCAGTAGTTACAGTGAATTTTCCAAATAATGGAGGTAGGATTAGGGATTGTGGGGAACCACAGTAGTTATCAGGATGCTTAACCAAGTGAAGACAGCAGTTCAAAAATAGTGATACAGTTCATAAAAATAATAATAGTATATCAGATGAGTGGCTAGGACCACACAGTATCTTCAAGGTGCTGACACCAGAATCAGCCACACCAAGGCCCCAGCTGAATGTCACAAATGTGGTTCATATTAAGGGTTGTTCTGATAAGAGGAGTATAATCCATACCCTGTAAATTTTGTCTTTTGATTATATTAGAGCCTCAGCAAGGTATCACCATGTCATGATGCTTTGTTTTGCCAAATGATAGTGGTGCCACACCCTGTCCTACTTACCTATTTCTCATTTTCCCCATTCTGCATTTATAAGCAGATAAATCAGTTTAAGAGGTTATTTACAATATGCATTTAAAACAACTTAATGCCTTTTGAAGATTTTCACAAACATCTATGTTTTGGGCAAATAATTGAGTTATGGTTACTTTCCCCCACAATCAGTGTGAAAATTATATCCATTACTCTTCCAGTATATGGCATTCAAGATAATTAAGCAGATCCAAGCAGCAGCCTTGTAGGTTGCTGGTGTAAAAAAGACAAAGATTTTTTAAAAATGAAACTCTAAAAGCTGACCTGAAAATTATTCTGAAAGGAAATAGAGGTTTCCTTCCAACATCTAAAGAACTGTAATTAAAAGTCAATGTATTAGGCCTCATAAACTGAAGTAAGTAATTTGTATTTTTGCCTAACAAAGATTATATAAAGTTACTCAAAGACTAATTGCAGAAATTTAATTAATGTCATTTACTGCCCCTAACCTAGGACAAGTTTAAAAAATAAAATAAACCTTATTTCAGATTAATTTTTAAAAAAAGATAATGAGGCAGCATTTTTTTTACTTTCTTATTTATTTTTGTTTTCTTTTTTTATAAACAGCATTTTGATAAAAAGAAAACACACCAGATATTTCAACAGGATGGACTGCTATCAATTAATAAAATAATAATTATGAAGGTCATTAGAAACATGAAAAATGTTTACCATTAACTACTAAGAATTACACAAATTATACCATATAAAAACATTCATATATCCAGACATATGTTGAGGTAATATAACTAAAGAAAAGCAGTTGTGTTAAGATGGAGAAAGTTATGTTAATTAGCTTCAGTACTAACATTACATTGTCTTTTAAGTAAGAATTGAAGGAAAAAAGAAAAGAGCCAAAATAATTTGACAGTCAGAAAATAGTCACCTACTAAAACAATCTTCAGTATTTTCAAAGTGCTATCTTAGGTGTGTTTTCAAGAACAAAGTAAAAAACATGGAAAGCTTAAGTGATCATTTTTCCTTTTTCTCTGTCCTGTTTCCTCCAAACATAAAACTAGACTTTTTCAAACTACTCAGAAGCCACTAAGAAGTACAAGCAGCAGGTGACTGAATGTCATTAAAGCCAAATATCCCCCCCACCCTTAATATAGGGTATCCCAAAAAATGTATACATGCACTTTGAATAATTATAAAGGCAGTGCTTATTAAAATACATTCAATTTTCAAAATTAAGCTATCAGCTGTTAAAGTGTATATACATTTTTTGGTAACACCCTATATATGTGTGGGTATGTATGTGACAGCCCTTGTGCCTGAGAACTTAACACAGTGCTTACAATGTAAATTTCATAATTTAATAATTAAATTAACTAGTAGGCATCTATTACAGAATATTTAAGTATAATAAATTATAAAAATAAAATTATATAAGCTTTCTGACAAAATTTTAATATGAAATCATAATTTTTTAAAACAAATATTTCAATACTATTTCCCTAAATGAAGTCTTCCAGAAGCTCATGTAATTGCACAGTTTTATTTTTAATACTGTAAAGAATATTACACAATCTGGATAGGTTATCGTTGCTATGGAAACTATAAAATTTTTGCAGTGAATCAAAAAGTACAAAATTAACACATCACATTAATGGCTTTAGAATTTTACATTGAGGCTGTCAAAGGCATTTGAAACCTTGAGCAGAACAGACTGAAGTATAAGCTTCTTATTCTGAATTATGTGGATAGGAACTAGGAACAAACCCAGCAATTATTTCACTTAATAAATTTAAATATAACTTCCATCTGTTAAATTAATAAAATACTCCAAGGTCTGCAAACTTAAGAATTATTTGCAACTTTCAGATTGAGAATCAAAGTACATATATTATTACCATTTCTTTTGTATGTTAACTGTCAGGTAGTAAGGGATGATATGGCCCCTCTGAAGTTCACCATATGAACAAGTGGCAGAATCCCAGGGGACATATGGGTCCCACTTTCACCATGGTACTATGTCAATGCCAATCTTTGGTCACATGCCACAAGGCCCACAAATATTTCAATGACTAGCACACAGGGCAGGGAAACTTTATTGCTCTCAATCCATGTGAGTGACCCTCTCCAGGAATTCCTTCAAATGGAAGTGACAAGTCATACCCCACAGCTTATATGTCTCAGGCACATATAATATTAAATGCCGTAGATATAATTTTTTTTTTATTGATTTTTTTACAGAGAGGAAGGGAGAGGGATAGAGAGTTAGAAACATCGACCAGCTGCCTCCTGCATACCCCCCACTGGGGATGTGCCTGCAACCAAGGTACATGCCCTTGACTGGAATCGAACCTGGGACCTTTCAGTCCGCAGGCCAATGCTCTATCCACTGAGCCAAACCGGTTAGGGTATAATTTGTTCTTTTACATAACAAGGCTGAAAAGCAGGTGAACCTTACCTATACTGTTATGATGGTCTGGCTTTTACAGGCAGCTTAGTTCTTTCTTAAAGCTATTTTATTTCTAAATAAAAGTAGTTTATTGTTTACTATAATAAAGACAGACAAAGCAATTTCAAAGCCTTCAGGTAAACTGCTTTCTAAATTTTAGGACATATTAGATACTGTGCTAAGTTAGAGCGCCTACATATTGAAAATAATAAAGGAGTTTACTAAATAAATCCAAAATTAAAAATACATAAATTTGTACTATAACCATAGATATATTTAATGTAGAAATTTTTTTAATTTAATGACATTTCTCCTATATGTTAGTAATGTGTAGCAAAACCATGCAGGTTTCACTCTCAAGAGTCACAAAGAAAGTATTATTCAACAGGAACATGATGTAACAACAAAATAAAAAAGTAAATCTGGCAGACACTGTGACCCGATTACCTTTCCATCTGAGACACTGTGTTCGGAAAAACGCTTGGTGCAAGCAATTCTACAGACAGAAGAAAAAATAAAAAGCACACAGTTGTGCAAATTATAGAAATCATCGCCTTAAAATTTCTACCAGACTCAGTGGTACTATTTAAATGTAATTCAGGGAAGAGTTGCTCAAGCTAAAGAAGCAAGTTCAGTAGGAACATGTCTTAAATGAAATCTTAAGAACTGGTTTAATGAAAAAAAATAGTCTTATACCTTTCAATAACGTACAAACTTGGTGACCAGCCCCCAGTCACTTTTAGCAAGGTGAAGCACCATGCAGCAGCCTGTATGCACAGTATGGTTAAGGTCTGCCCAAAACTCCATTTGTTATCATCATAACTAAACAGATGCAGGGCTTTTCTTGGCTCTTATCAATTACACCATAAGGTATTCAGATCAGCTCTGGGCTATTTTTGGTCCCAAGAACCTTTGACAGACAAAAATCTAGAAGTATCTTTTTAAAAAAGATGAGGGAATTCAAGCTCAAGCAAGGCTGAGAGAAAATTTTTAGTCTTCAAACTAATAGTGTTAAAATCCATTTTTGTTTCTAACGAAAACAGAAGTACCTTACTAATTTATTTTACATCAACCAACAAACAAATACTGAGTCAATAGTGCATGCCCCAACACTATGCCAAGCTCTGAGGATGAACAAAATTAGACTACCCTAGATATCAAAGTTCAAAATCCAGCTGAAAGAGATTCTGGGTGAGTGGAAAATATAGACAAATAACTGATATGACTCCCTCTGCACTCAAGAGGTATGCATAACAAGAACAGAAAGAATGAAACTAATATTTCTTCCAGAGTTTTAAGAAAGGAAATTAACGACATGAGTAATGCCTTTAAGAGAACAGTTTCCAGGAAGAAGGGATGAGGAGATACAGATTTCCAGGCAGAAGTGTAGCATGAGAAAAATAAAAGGCATCTTCAGAAAACCACTGGTATTTAGATGGCTGGCAGCTGGAGGCATGATGACAAGGGGCAAGAGATGAGATTAGAAAAGTAAAGGGAATGGACCATGTGAGCTGTCAAAGAAGCTTATACTTCATATGTAAACAACGTGGAGCCAGAGGTTTTTAGAACAGGGACGGTACATTAACAGATATTTGCTCAGAAGGATAACTGTGATGGTAGACAAAATATTTGGTAGGTTGCATCATATGTCCAGATTAGAAAAGATGGAGATTACAAGAGTGACAGAGGAGAACAAATATGGATTTCAAAAGGCATTTCTGAGTCAGAACTGACAGATTTGATAACCAATTTGATTTTGTAGATCAAAGAAAGATTCCAAAGACAGATGAAGTTTCCACTTTGTCTAATTGTGCAAATGATAACACCATTAACCAAAGAAATGATGATGTGAGAGAAAAAATGGAGACCAGATATTATAAGAGTCTATTTTAAAGGCAATGAAAGTTATATATGAAGATTAATCTATGTAGGAAGAACTGAAATTACAAGTGTGAAAAACAATTAGGAGGTTATTGTAAATGTAAGAAGATGAGAACCTGGGTTAGTGTAATAGAAAGTTAGCTCCAAAAGGGGCTTAAGACAACCTCCTCATTTTAAAGATGAAGAAGCTAGGCCAGCAGCTAGAAGCAGAGTTGAGACAAAATCTCCTAATTCCAAGTTCAACATTCTCCATAACAAAGTGGTAACAGTAAGACTAGAGAAAAGAAGGAACACTTGTGACAGTAATTTTTAAGAAGGAATTGGCAGAACCAAATGAATAAATAATGATTAAGAAGACTGAATCAGCCCTAGCTGGTTTGGCTCAGTGGATAGAGCGTCGACCTGTGAACTGAAAGGTCCCAGGTTCGATTCCAGTCAAGGGCACATGGCCGGGGTTGTGGACTCGATCCCCAGTGGGGGACTTGCAGGAGGCAGCCAATCCATGATTCTCTCTCATCATGAATGTTTCTATCTCTCTCTCCCTCTTCCTTCCTCTCTGAAATCAATAAAAATATATTTAAAAAAAAAAAAAAAAAAAAAAAAGAAGACTGAATCAGGTTAAATCTGAGGTTCTGAGCTTGGCTGATGGGGAGGATGATATCATTGAGAACAAGAGTTGGGTCAGATCTCAGAATATTCTTATGATTCTTTTACATAGAAAAAATTTTTAACCCAAAATGAAAATATCTGAGAAGTTCCAAGAGGAGATATCCTAAAGATGTTTCTTGAGGGCCTATCATAGTAGTTTCAGATTGAAAGGCCTTGAGCCTTCATGAGAGATTGGATTAGAGCAGCAACCTGTGGGTCTCGACCCCTTTGGCGGTAGACTGACCTGCCGGGAGCCGGTCCATCCTTGCTGTTTCAAAGGACCTGGCATATATGGCATACTGTTCTTAAAATGTTTGCTCACCTTCTTGGCACTATGTGTTTTAACCAAGGTCTCCTCTCTAAGAAAGGTTGTTTCCCCAGGTAGGGATTTTCCCCTGAAGTTACGGAGGGAATAAAACCCCTCAACTAAGTGCCAGGCGGGTAATTAATCACTTTAACTACGAACAATCATGCTTAAGCTACATAATCTTTACTCCCTAGAATGGAGATAAGAAACGCCCTAACCTTTGTAATAGAGATTGATAGGATTGAATCAACTGGTATAAATACAGATGTAACAAGACAGCAAGAGACAGAACTTAGAAGACAGAACCAAGAGGCACAGAACCTAGAGAAGAACCTAGAGACAGAACATGGCAAAAGATCCTGGACAGAAACTGGCCACAGAACCTAGAGACAGAACCTAGCGAGAGAACCTGGCTGAAGAACCTAGAGACAGAACTGGCTACAGAACCTGGCAATAGAACCAGGCAAGAGAACCCAACCATGCTGATCAACTGAACGCTGTCTCCGTCTTCTTCTTCTTCGCCGACTCCGTCTACGCCTTTGGGAACCCCTGGACCCGCTGGGGTTGGACCCCGGCACTGACCCTTTCACAGGGGTCGCCTAAGACCACCCTGCATATCAGATATTTACATTATGATTCATAACAGTAGCAACATTACAGTTATGAAGTAGCAACGAAAATAATTTTATGGTTGGGTCACAACATGAGGAACTGTATTTAAAGGGCCAGAAGGTTGAGAACCACTGGATTAGAGGAAGCAGCACATAGATGACTTTTTTGGTGCCCAGGAAAAAACTTGAGACAAGGAGGAAAGGAGACAGAGAGAGGAAAGAAGAGATGAAAGAACAATTTCTGAGCACTTCTCTCTCACAAACAATTCAATGAATTCATCCTTCAGGTTTTCTTTTCAAAACTGTAAGAGTAAAATTCAAATAATTAAATCATCAGAATAACAGTATCCAAGATGGTACAGTATGACCAGTTTTTACAACCATGTGTTACCAGTAAGACATTCTTCAAACAATATGACACCTGAGTCTTGCCAACAATTTTTTTCTTCAAGAAGAATGCTGGCATAAATCAATGTTATTATTATATCTCTTTTCTTTAATATGTGATGATTTGGCTTAGCTGATTAAGAGACTTCCACATCACACACACAAAATAAGGAATAAAAATCTGGAAAAACAAAACTCAAAAAAGATTAGTTTTACATTGGTGTCATTATTCAATATTATAAACTCAATATTCACACAGCCTGGTAGTAATGATTCCTTACATGGGAACTCTTTCTCTTTTATGTAATACCCTAATATTTTAAAAATTTTTATCATGAAATTTTCCAAAAATGAACAAACAAATGACAGCCTGGCTGGTGTTGCTCGATGGTTGGCGCATTGGCCTGTGGACTGAAAGGTCCCGCGGACTGAAGGGTCCTGCGTTCTATTCCAGTCAAGGGCACATACCTCGGTTGCAAGTTCCCTGACCCTAGTAGGGGTGTGTGCAGGAGGCAACCAATCGATGTGTCTCTCTGACATGGATGTTTCTCTCTGTCTCTCCTTCTCCCTTCCACTCTCTCAAAAAATCAATGGAAAAATATCCTCGGATGAGGATTAACCAAAAAATAAAAACAGCTATAAAAGTTTCCGTATATTATTCAGGAGCTAACAAAGTGCCTTGCAAATAGTAGAAACTCAACTATTGTTGCATTGAAATAAACTTATTAGTCTTTTTCAATGATTTTAGAAAGAGAGAAAGGGAGAGAGAAACATTGATTTGTTGTTCCACTTATTTATGCATTCATTGGTTGATTCTTGTATGTGCCCTGCAGGGAGCAAACCCAAAACCTTGCGTATCAAAAAAGAAATTAATAGTCAAGATGTCAACAGCAACACTTAAAATTTAAATGTATAGTTTTTCACCATACTATTGAAGGTTCTGCCAAACCTAGACCACTGCGGAAACTTCTTTTGATAAAATTTAGGTTTTGCATGTTTTTCATAGCTGATCTTAACTACTGTGACAACACAGAATGTGACACTGTGATATTATAAGAAATATATATTTCAATCTTCCTCCACAGTTCCTGGCTCACAGCTCCTAAAACCCCTGTAATTTCCTAAGTGACTAGAGCATAGGAGTATCTTTTACCACAATATTTCATTTTTGTTCCTGGAATAGCTCCAGAAGGATAAATGAAAAAAATTCTTTTATTCATAACAAGCCCCTTTCAACCACACCTGAGTTTTGGAAAGTCCCTAAATAACCAGTGGATGGGTGGATGGTTGTCGGGGAAACATTATCAGGTGATTACAACTTTCAGCCCCTCCCACCCCCAAAAAGGGTAACTAGAGGTTGAATTAATTACCAATGGTCACAATTTAATCAATCATGCCTACATAATGAAAACGCCATAAAAATCCCCAAAGTACAGAGTTCAGAGAGCATCTAGGTTGGTGAATCAGAACACATCCACTTGCCGGAAGGGTGACACACTCTAAAACTTCATAGGGATAAAAGTTCCTGTGCTTGGGACCCTTCCAGATATAGGCCCAGCCCTATGTATCCTTCATGTGGCTGTTCATTTTTATCCTTTATACAGTATATTCTTTGTAATAAACCAGTAATCTAGTAAGTAAACTGTTTTCCTGAGTTCTGTG